AACCTAATCCCAACCCAACCCAACCAACCTAATCCCAACCCAACCCAACCCAACCTAATCCCAACCCAACCCAACCAACCTAATCCCAACCCATGATGTACGGCAGGTCTTATTCACTTTCAGGTTAAAGGCATTCCTTTTTTCATTTCTGTGAATTGTAATTTACATGTACACGCTGAGGATTCCACGATAATTTCTCTTGATTATAGTGTCGTACAATAGGTCTTCAGTCCAGGCCTGGGGACAAATGGAATTATCTCTGAAAATGAGTTTCTAGCTGATTTTTTTTTATCCCTTAAAGGAATCCTCATTCCTCCCGTCACAAAAGTGGTAGTTCCAATTTTTCTAAAATGCTGGCGCTTCCGAATCCTAAAAAAGGAAAAAAGGGGGGAAAAAGCAGTATGCTTGTGTAGGAAAGGGGGAACTTACCCCCTGCGTCCCCCGCTAGAATAGTTCCTCGTATTTTTAGCCATCCTGTTCAGCACTGACGAAGCTGGGGCCAGACGAAACAGAGGGGCTATTTGTTTCCCACAAAGCGTAGTTATATCGCTTCGAGGCGAGTTCGCTGCGAGCATTTTCATAACTGTTTTTGATTCGAGTTTTCGAACTTTGGGCGGCCCGCTTAAGCCCCTTAGAAGGCACCTTAAAGTATTACTAAAACCCCTTTGCTGACAAAATCCTCGCTGAATTCATTTTATTATTAAAAGCTGAATACGAAAGCTTCGCTCATTGGATGAATACATAAAGTTGCTTCCAATGACGTGAACACCTTTACGGCTGCCGCCTTAGTTGCGAAGGTCAGCACTTTCAAATGCTTGGGCCTTGTTGCTGACAACACCGTAAAACCTGGCTTGTCATGCCGACTATGTTCATGTTTCGGTCCGTTCCAAATATAAGCACAGCCTTGCACTCTGGTTCAGTGCTAAATTTGCGTACTGTCGATATTACTATACAATATGGGGAGGTCAGTAAGAACGTCACATTACAGTAGTATTATGGTGCGACGAATCACCTGTCCGATAGCCTGGGCAATCAAACTTTCATTCGGGCCGGGCAATTAAAATTCTGACTAGCTGTGCCCTTTCAAGAAAAGTTGATGTCTTTTCTGTCTTCACAAAACATCTTTCAATAACCTTTTCTCTCTTTAAACTGCTTGTTTTTATGTTTTTCCTACTTACATTTGCAGTGTTTGAGAAGAAACTTCCGTTATTTTCACGAGTTTCCATTCACGTTTCGCTGTCACAGTGGTGAAAACACATGCGCAAAGCTCGACGCATTAAACGAGGAGGCGCTGGTTCCTGCCGGGCCATGCAAAAGAACGCGTGATGGAAATGTAGCAAACAGAACCAGTCTAAGTCTATATATGCACTGTGCGTTCCGGCAGTACACGCATGCAACTCTAAAACTGCAGATCGAAAAAAAATCGATGTTGCGCGAGGTTTTCTGCTAGTTAATTACAGAATTTGGTCTCTTGTTTATATATGAATTTTCTGCGTTAATGAGTTTAATTTGAAGTTGTTTTACTCGTACTTGAAGCGAGCGTGTTTTAACAAATTTCCTGCCGCGGCACAAGGTTTATCACCCACTGGTCTGGATGCATCGCGCACGTATACCATGCGATACACGGACATTATTGACCAGTTTGCCGTCTGCCAGTGAGCTGTTGTAGCGGCCAAACTCATTTTTTATTTCTAACCCATTGAGGGCGCTGTAAGCGGGACCATAAAAAACAGCACTGAAACAAGATGGCTCCACCACGTTTTGCATCTGACAGATTTTGATTGGCCCATCCTGCCGAAGTTTATTAAACGGTTAGAGCTCATTATTCTCAGGATTCTCATATTAAATTAAAGAATTTGATTTAGTAATTACCGGGTTATTTATAGTCTTGTATAAGCTGAAACTTACTCATTTAGGCCATGCTGTTACATCGGTGGAATACTTTATTGTAAATGGTAAATAATACAGATACGCACATGAGGGGCCTACATATTGGAGCTATAGTCAAAATTATGGGGTTTCGTATTGTCTAACTTAAATATTGGGCATTATACTCTTTTAGGGGAAGTTAGATACATGTATTAGTGCGAGTTATAATTGAGGTCGAAGTAAACATTGGGTGCATGTATATTTACATGTTCAATGTGGGCACATATACATGTATTATTATCACCTAGACGTCGGATGTACCGTGCTCTTGATTTATGTTTGATTTTAATTTTATTGTAGTCAATCTGTGCCTGTTCCTGTGTCTGTGCATCAAGCTGTATGCATGAACAAGAAGAGAAGCATTAAACATCTGGATCTGAAGTATACACTGTACATGTACAGCATTGCGTGTGTATGCTTTGGCAGATTCAACTGTGTTAATTGTCCATAATTTTTGTGAATTGTCTACTTTAGAACTTTCTACATAGATTAAGACAGGTGTTCATCACTTTTTGAGATAATCTTGGAAGCTGCCAGCCTCACTCATGCCATTCCATCAACACAAACACAAATTGACTCCCAAAATAAAAAAGAAAATCCGACCTACCGACCCTATTTTTGAGAGACAAGTAGTCGGAAGCACAAATGTTTTTCCTTTTTACATTAACTTTATTGTAAATCTAGTGACTCCTGGAAATATATGGTAGTTGAGGAAGCACAATATCAATCATACAAAAAGAGGACTTAGTAACACAGTTTTTCCCATGCACCCGCGATATCTACGTCAGGAACACTTTTTCTATGCAACGTGGCCACCACATGCATGCCACATTCGGTATACTGTTCATGTACTGTACATTGTACATGTACTGTACATACTACTAAGCAGTGCACTCGTACAAGTGGAAGCCAATGGCTGAATGCACAATCTAACCTTTTATTTCATTGGATGAAAAACCTTACATCCAAAAGAAGGGGTGAAATAGTTGCCAATCGAAAGAATTTTCACATTGCCAGTTAGCTAATGATTAGAAGAAACTACCATGCGATTGAGGAAGTCAAAGGGTGGCGCTAGCCTGAGTTACGACAGGTCCAAGTTGGGAAGTTGAGCAGAAAGAGAGCGTGAACGGTGAATTTACACGCAAAAATATATTACATCAAAGCAAGACGACACTCCAACGTTGAACTAAAAATGACAGAGTTAAATCGATGAATTTTTTCTAACTTTTACAGATTTTTCAAAACTTGAAGGAATATATCTGAACTAGGAGCAAAGGTTTGACGCGTTTTCGTACAAAACTAGAAATCATGATGAGCACCGATTTTTCACGGGTCTTTCTATTTGGCAAGCTGCGTAAATGAGCGCCAAGGAATTGATGTGCATTACAAATGACCCTCCCCCCCCCAAAAATGGAAATACGCTGGTCAAAATACATTTTCATTTGCAAGAAAGGGAAAAAAATGCAGACCAAACAAAAGCTACCCTTCATTACCAATAATGATAATTCCGTCAAAAAGCATCTCTCTGCTCAATTTATTTCGCGTCTTCATTCTTTTCAAGTAAAGACAACAACTTAACAACAACAAAAAGACCACAGAATTCCAGTCTTCGCCAGACCTTTCCCTCATCCCTGCCCCCCCCATAGCAAAATGCAAAAGCTTGTGCTTGAAACACAAGTCACTCGATCTCTCAAAAACGTGTCGCAAAATACACCTCATGATGTGTGCGTGATAATTCACAGAATTTTTTTTCCACACGGCCAGCACCAGACCCCTCTTAGGGGCTTGGCCCTATTCAACACCAGGCGAAACGGCTATCTGTTGTCGGTGCCGGCAAGAAATTACATTTGACTATTAAACATGGTAGGGCAGATAATGACAGCCGCTTGATGATGACAACACGTTTCTGTTCTCGCCCTTGCTTTGCTCAGTTTCCAGTAAATCCAATGCACGTTGTTTTACTTGAATTTATTTCCTAAATCATTGTAACGTTTCTTTTGTAGTTTCTCGTCGCTGTTTGTTGTTGTTTTTTCTGTTTTCGATTTAAAGGAACTGTGGAATACTTACAGTTTGTTGAAAAGAGCTGTGAAATATATTTTATATTGTCTTCATTTCCCTACCATGTAATACTTTGAACCATTTTCCATCTTGCGGGATACTCTCATAAACGTGTGAATCTGCAAACATGTACATGACCACCTGAACTTGAACTGACCACCGTACGAAACTTTCTCGACTCTAAACTGACTTAACTTAGGCTTCTTGATAATATGACGGGCCTTCTAGACTATGTAGCAAGAAACAAAGTTTAAAGATGACGTAAGCTCGGGTATATCTTTTTCTGTCTAGACCGACGTCACTTGGTCTTCGAAGGTAACATTTTTAAAAGGGGGGGGGGGTTGAGGTGATGTGACCGATGTTCCTGACCAAAAACAAATATTAATTTCTCAGTCTCTGTATTTTCTCTCTCCTCCCTCTTATTTCTCTCCCTGTCTGTCTGATGGCATACACTGTTTATTTCTCCTTTGATCCTGCATCTATTTAGTTTCTTTGCATATCTTTTTCCCCTCGTACTTTCCAATTTGTATTCATTCCTTGCAGTTCCATAAAATGCAGTTTACAGTGGGGAGTGCCCAAGGGTAAAAGGTTACGATTGTGAAACCCCATTGGTTGGAGGAAATTTCCAAATTCAACCTTCATTGCGAAACCATATCTTTTCAAACTACTTGGTGTTTTTGGGCTCTCCTGCTGTAGGTAATTAGTCAGAATCATTGTCCTGTGACGGTTAAAATTGTTATTGCTTTTCAATGTTGGATCAGTATCATTCACGGTTCAACTGAGTTGCAGCAACTCGCAGAGCAACAGCTCACGTATTTCGAGCAAGTCTGTTTACCAGGAGTTCGACAAATTCTCCCCGCTGGGAGTAGTTGTATCCTGCTTCCAAATACAACCATCTGTGGATGAAAATGAACTGACCACTGTACGAAACTTTCTCTTACTCCAATCTGAACTGTCTGAACCTCAGGCTTCCGGATCTTATGACAGGCCTTCCACGAGTTGCAGGGAATAAAATGAAAGAAATTAAAGTCAACAATTTACGCTTCTCCAGACACAGATTTTTTCTATTAAGACCTATGCCACGGGATCTATGAAAGGAGTGTGGTAACTTGATTGATATTCTTGACCAAATCCAATATTAATTCCGCATTCTCTCTGCTTTCTCTTTATTCCGTTTTATTTCTCTCCTTGTCTGTCTACGTTTCATTAAAGGGGTTACAAATAAGTGATTGGGATTTCGATTTGACTCATTCGTTGCCATTAGTAACCAATGTGCAATCTTATTCACCGAAAATCTGTCTTTTACCGTAAACCTTGATATTGAGTATTCATTTTCATTTGCTGCAATTCAAATTCACAAAATTAGAAATATTAGAAATATACTGGGTTACAGAAATCATGACACTACATGTACTTTGATAATGAATGTAATATTACTCATGAAGGATTATAGTGTGTTTGTTAGCAAACTTTACACCAATTAAAGTCTATGATGTCTTTGTAACTTCCCATTCAGCCATATCAAGAAGGCCATGTGCGAACTTTTATGTGATTGTGGTGAAAAAATAGCACGAGAAGGTTACCTCACCGTTTGTGCAGGATATGTACAATAGTCGGTGTGATTCCAAAGACAACATGAATGGTCTATTTTAGTCACGAATATCCAAACATTTAGCCATTCAACTAAACACTTCAAAGAATATAACTTCTGTTAGCACACAAACAATTTCACTTCATTTCACACAAACAATAACACATCTCGCAAAATTGCCTGCACTTTTTACGAAACTAGATTGAGTTCAAGTTAAGGTGAATGCAGGATTGCAGAGGTGCATTTGATTCCGCGCAAAAAATAAATGCCAACACACTGAACCAGTGCAATATTGGGAAATTGAATGCTGACTTTATACGACCGAATACACCCTCCTTGAAAAAGAATTTGTAGACCTATTTATTAAATATAAACGGGGATTTGAATGTTCGTTCCATTTCGCTCAAAAACGAATGCTGCCATTACTAATTTATTGACACTTTTTCCGAAATTGGCCGGGAAAACCTGTATTATTTCTTTTTCCACACTTTGGCTCTCGGCGAACCTGATATCTCTGTTTGTTGCATTGCGCAATATGCTTTGGAGCCCAGCACTCAAGCAGTATCACTGGACGACAGTGGGATACTTTGAAACACCCAGTTGCAGCAAACATTCAGGCTCTTTTTATCGGTTCTGAGCATGCACACAATGTTCTAAGCACGCGCAGTAGCATGAAAAAGCCTGAGGACCGGTAAGTCTGCTGCCACCGGAATCTCAAAAGTCTACCAATTCACGTTGCTAAAATTATAGACCCTATTCGTAGCTGCTGCCGTGAAAGAGTTGCAGCAGTTTTAATGATTTTGGAGGGGCACTGCTGTCATTATTGTTTAGGTCAAGGCTCCCGTTCACATGAATATTTTTTATAACGGCTTGAACTACCGTGTGATCTTGTTAACCGAATCCACAAAGGTGTTTCAGCTGCGGGGAATTTCAAGTTGGCCTCATCAGCTGGCCCCGCAAGAAACTTTCTTGCCTCCAACGCAGAATCCTGCATGCACCCCGATCAAACAGACAACCATCTAAACACAGCCTCAGTCTTTGAAGACGAAATATCTGACCCCAAACAGTCTTGTGAAAAAAAATCCAAATCAAATCCAAATCTAAACCTCTCCGACTCGCGAGGGGGCGACACGTGCCTCTGCAGTTCGCTCGAAGCCTACTGCCGAAAAACCTTCGTCTCAGCCCACTCGATTTCCCCCTCACCTGTTCGAAAAATGGCCTTTTAAGATCTCTTCCCAAAATCACGTCCCCAAAAGCCTTCAAAACCCTTCCAGCCTTCGTGGTTGACATCACCGACACCGACTCAGCATAGTGGGAAGACCGTCTCAAACCAATGACGACTGATTGCCTCTGCGCGGGCTTCTTCATTTGCAAAGGCCCCCCAAACCGGAAACCAACGCGGCAGTGGACAGAATTGCTCACGTCCAGAACGCTATTGGCGTACTCGACTCCTAACCCCTTAAATTCTCTTCCTCCTCCGGCCCGAGTCCAGGGAAGCAGCTCGCTTCGCTTCTGCGAGACTTTACCCGACAGCATTTGGCGCCTCATGGGTGCAGTTCACTAACTAAGTCGGTACAGTAGCTTCTGCAGCCCAATAACATTTGGTGATCCAGTGGGTCATTTGCAAAAAGAGGGTGCCTAAATTGAAGTGATTGTTTTCTAAAAATCAAACATTTTGGACTTAAGGCTTCTATAACCTGGGTTATATTGCCCACATTAACCTTCAACCGACTTGACTTGTTTTGCGTGTCATAAGGATGGCAACATTCGCCGGACCTGTGCTTGGAGTTTGACATTTTACACTGTTTTTTTTTTGGGGGGGGGGTAAAAAATTTGCGCGAAAAGCCAATTGTCTTTATAAGGTTAAAATCTGGAGTTTCCAATGATAAAAAATTCTTGAGCATCATCTACCAGGCAGCGCTGTTTCTGCGTTGTTTGCAATGGCAATCCTGATGAAGTTGAAAGTGCAGAACTACAGAGGGCGCTCGTCAAACTGCGTCAGAGCGGCATACGCGCATGATGCATGCATGTGTATGGCACACAGCGCTGCAGTCCGAGCCTAGCCGTCCAAGTTCTTGGACTGGTCGAAGTCAAACTGTGTGTCCTCAACCTGAATTTTTATATGCACGTTGGTCTGGATTGCGTTACTTCTGATTCTGTGTATCAGAGATGTTCAGACAAATAGAGAAATTTGCTTTTGCCACCGATATTTGTCGACAAATGTGTCGAAGTATTGTGACCAGAACGGTGGTAAATCTTGCCGGTGCACCAGCTACACGTATAACGTTAGTTAATGATCGCTGGGTAGGCCCAAGGGATCTGCCTGGATTGTTGATTGATAACCATCTTTTACATGCTCACTTTCGTCAAACAAACGGTAGGTAGTCATTTGGTAATATTCTAAAATGTCGAGGCTGCCTTGGTGCAGGGTATCAGGTCCGTAACTGGTCACAATCATGACCAGGATCATCATGATCATGAGGATAGCAGTCATCATGGTCATGACAGTTAAAAATACTTGGCTTGTTTTGTTAGCCAAGGCCCAGCACCAACCAGACATGCCTTTGATGAATGCTTGCCTCCATTCTGCAGTGGGAAATATTAATAGGGCCTAACCCCAATAAGCAATAGAATACACCACGATCTCCTAAATCTTCGACAGTAACTACCCAGTTATGAATGTGACCAGATAATACATTTTAGTCACAAGACCAGCTACAAGACTAGTCACAAGACTAGTCACAAGTCTGGGGATTGTATTTGGGAACCCCATTCCCATAAAAGAAGGGACTGACCTACATTTTATTTTGGACTCACTGAGGTAGATGATTTTTGGCCATAGAGCTCTATGCTCGGTAATTGTACATGTAGGGTTGATGTGAAACGAGGGCAGAGTTTTGAGGGAAATTATATGTATGCCTCGGGCATGTCAGGGCTGCAGGGAAGCTGTGAGTGGTGAGTGTAACCTAGGACACATGGTGGAGTCAAATTTGCATGGCTGGTTTGTCAGTAAGAAAGTCACATTGTCTCACAATTTACAATTTGAAATATCTAAAAACTAAAGAGAGCATTGCCTTTGGTTTTGGTGGGCTGACCAGCTAAGTAGCAAGATTGAAATGACAAAAAACTGGAGGGTCCCCAAGTATAAAACAACTCCCACAAGACTAGTCGCAAGTGAGAAGGTGAACAGTCGTCAAGGAATGGCTCTCTTCCTTTTCATGTGAATGGCTTGTGATTTGAATTCAGACTGGAGGTTGGTAATAATCTTGCAGATGGTCTTGTGAAATCGGGTAACATTCTGAAAGAGGGGTGGACTGCGTCACTGGTATGGTGTACATGTATGTTCACTTGATTTTCTTTTTGAGTAAGATACATGTACAGTATATATGGACTTTCAGGTGACATTTTAAAGGGCCATGTCTTAACGCTTTCATTTGTTACAGGAAATTATGATTCCAAATGACTGCTGTTCCAGACATACATGTACATTGACATAAATTTATGGACCTTGTGTTATTTTTAGTGGTGTTCTACTGTATATTTTAATTTTTCAGTTTTCCGTTACATTTTTTAAAGACATCAAGCAATTAATGATTCAGCATTTTGTCTATTTTCTCCCCAGTGCTGAGGCATTTTGCCTCCAAAGCAACATCAAAGTTTTCCCGTAAAATTAAAAAAGGTAAGCAAGTGTTGGAAGATACTTCTAATAGAAAGAAATAAATGAATACATGTAAGAGCAGTTTGTAAGGCACTGAGGATCGTCAGTCAAATTATTGATTGATTTAGAAATGAGACAGCTTATTATGATTTTGCACCAGACTTTTTACACTGGAGGAGACATTGACTTTACGACAAAGAAGTGTTTTATTTGTCTAGGGGTTTCATCAAACATGAATGTTTAACCCCTTGACGACGGGAATTCTTTCCGAAAGCCGACTCCAAGAATTCAAGCCTCGCTTGGCCACGAAGGCCACCTGCCCTGCCAGACCGCAAATTCTCGGTTTGTGGCCCTGCGTGCTCTGCACGCTTTGAATTACACGGTGAAAAGGCTGATTGTTCAGTGGCATTGGGCTCTACTCATG